CCGGAATTGTCCCCAAAATGCCCCAAAGCCCCAAAATGTCCGGAATTGTCCCCAAAATGTCCGGAATTGTGCCCAAAATGTCCGGAATTGTCCCCAAAATGGCCGGAATTGTCCCCAAAATGGCCCAAAGCCCCAAAATGGCCGGAATTGTCCCCAAAATGGCTGGAATTGTCCCCAAAATGGCCGGAATTGTCCCCAAAATGGCCGGAATTGTCCCCAAAATGGCCCAAAGCCCCAAAATGGCCGGAATTGTCCCCAAAATGCCCGGAATTGTCCCCAAAATGCCCAGAATTGTCCCCAAAATGCCCCAAAGCCCCAAAATGCCCGAAAGCCCCAAAATGCCCGGAATTGTCCCCAAAAGCGCTCACGGCCTTGGCGGGCTCGGATTTGAGCTGCTCGGGCTCCAGGCGCTGCAGCCGCAGCCCCGGGAAGGTCCCGCGGAATCGCTCGTGGATCCGCGCGTCCAGCGGCGTCAGGCGCAGCAGCGAGGGCTCCACCGAGGAGAGCAGCTGGGGACCCAAATCACCCCAAAATCAGCCCAAAATCAGCCCAAAATCAGCCCAGAATGAACCCAGAATCACAGGGAAACCAAAACACCCCAAAATCACCCCAAAATGAACCCTGAATCACCCCAGAATCACCCCAGAATGAACCCAGAATGCAGCGAGGGCTCCACCGAGGAGAGCAGCTGGGGACCCAAAACACCCCAAAATCACCCCAAAATCACCCCCAAAATCAGCCCAAAATGAACCCTGAATCACCCCAGAATGAACCCAGAATGCAGCGAGGGCTCCACCGAGGAGAGCAGCTGGGGGACCCAAAACACCCCAAAATCAGCCCAAAATCAGCCCAAAATCAGCCCAAAATCAGCCCAGAATGAACCCAGAATCACAGGGAAACCAAAACACCCCAAAACACCCCAAAATCACCCCAAAATCAGCCCAAAATCAGCCCAAAATCAGCCCAGAATGAACCCAGAATCACAGGGAAACCAAAACACCCCAAAACACCCCAAAACACCCCAAAATCACCCCAGAATCACCCCAGAATGCAGCGAGGGCTCCACCGAGGAGAGCAGCTGGGGACCCCAAATCACCCCAAAATCAGCCCAAAATGAACCCAGAATCACCCCAGAATCACCCCAGAATCACAGGGAACCCAAAACACCCCAAAAATCATCACGGGAACCCCAAAATCACCCCCAAAATCACCCCAGAATCACCCCAAAATCACCCCAAAATCAGCCCAAAATCAACCCAGAATCACCCCAGAATCACCCCAGAATCACAGGGAACCCAAAACACCCCAAAATCACCCCCAAAACACCCCAAAAACACCCCAGAATCAACCCAAAATCAACCCAGAATCACAGGGAACCTGAAACACCCCAAAACACCCCAAAATCACCCCAAAATCACCCCAGAATGCAGCGAGGGCTCCACCGAGGAGAGCAGCTGGGGACCCAAAACACCCCAAAATCACCCCAAAATGAACCCAGAATCACCCCAGAATCACAGGGAACCCAAAACACCCCAAAAAACACCATGGGGAACCCAAAACCACCCCAGAATCACCAGGGGAACCCCAAAATCTCCAGGGGAACCCCAAAACACCCCAAAACCCCCAGG